CCCCCAGTGAAAATTCCTTAAAAAAGGCACTGCCGGTTAGTGCACCAAATATATGCACAGTACTGTTTATACTATAGTGGCCTAGCTTGTATAATAATATATATGTATATATGTAAAATACTTGTATAATTTTGAAATTGGGTTGGGTAAAATAAAAATCCAAGTCATGCAATAGTTGGGTAGGGAAAAAAATGGTTGATCGAAAGGGTGGGTGGTTGTTTTTTTCTCTTTTCGATTAGTTTCTCTTCGGTACCAACCTCGGGTATAAATAATGAACACTCCCTTAAGCGGGCCATGTTACACGGTGCCATGTTACACGGTGCAATTTTTCTTGCAACTTGCAATGCAATTCTACTCTTGAGAGATGTAAAATTGCCAAATACGAGTCTTCATTACACTCCGCTGATGTTTTCTCAACATATCGAAAATTCTTCACTGATTTCACTAATTAATATCTCTCAAGAGTAGAATTGCATTGCAAGTTGCAAGAAAAATTGCACCGTGTAACATGGCCTTTACAGGTCCTTCATCGATAGCAGGCGATATTAGCCTGACGAAGTAAACCTGTATAAACATATTAATTATATAATAATAATAATTTGGTTATTTCCTAAATAACCGAGCGCATTGGCGTCTGAAATTCTAGCGGGCGCAGAATTAAGCCCGCCGATTAGAACCGGGTAAATTGACTCAACGGATATTAAAGTATTTTAATCCTGCATGACCACATGATGCAACGACGAATGAGAAACAAAGCAGCAAGATACGTAGATAGCGACAGGTGCTGTACACCAGCAAGTTCATTTCAATTCAAATTTACGTCCCCTCAAACAATGGCGTGTATAAGAAAAACTACGGTTTTCTGCGTTTTATTTCTTGTTCTTTACGTCGTATTTTCCTACGTCGAAGCGAATGAGTGCTCTTCTCACTTTGATTGTTCGGGCTTACAGTATTGCTGTGACAGAAAGTATCCTGAAGACAATGTGTGTCGGTACAGTTGCATTGGTCAGTCGTGTATCCTTGATAACGACTGTGCCCCGGGTGAATCTTGTTGTGATTCTGATGAGAAATGTGCCACAACTTGTGTTGGAAAATCGTGTACCTTTGATGGCGACTGTGCTACTGGAGAATGTTGTGATTCAGCCGATGGCAAATGTAATACAGGAGATTGCGATGTGATTAAAGGTCTAGCTGGTTGGATTGTAGCAGTGATTGTTATCAGTGTCATTATTGTTATTGTCATACCTATTGCAGTTGTCGTCTTTTGCTGTTTTTGTGCGGCTGGTGCGGCAGCAGCCTCGAGACGTCCTGCTCATGGTGGTGTTGTAGTAACACAACCTACAACCACAGGAAATACAGTCTTTGCAACACAGCAACAACAACAGCAACAACAATACCCTGCACAAGAAGGACAGCCAATGTATTTTCAAAACCCTCAAGCAAATCCCAACCAACCCCCACCAGAATATCAACCTCAAGGGACAGTGTATCCACCAGGGGCAAGTGGTGGATATATAGCGATGACACCACAAACTGAAATAAAGCCATAAGAACTGAAACTGATTTAGCGAGCACAGCAGACAGGCACTCGCTTCCATAAAATAGGATTATCTAAACTTTAATACTAGATAAACGGGCATAGAGTGACATGGTCAGACTACTCATACGCCAAAAGGTCACTCACCGGCTCAATGAGTGGAATTAAGTTCAATCTGAGCTTTTCTAGCTCGAGTGTCATTGCTGTTTTTGAATAGCTGGAGGGTTAGTGTCGTACGTACCTTACTATGTGACTACTCACCCTCCAGCTGTTCAAAAACAGCATTGACACTCAAGAAAAGCTCAGATTGAACCTCCACTCATTGAGTGTGAGTGAGCTTTTAGAATACAGACGATAGAATATCTTAGAAACTAAAGTAAAGCACTGCAAGCACAGTAGATGCACTAGCTTCAATGAAATAGGTTTAACATAGACATGGTCAGGCATTAGACATCGTTTACTCGACACCTTCGATTGTAGATGTACAGTGTGCAATTGATTTCGTATTTCATTAAATATTTTAAGACATCAACTATAACGAGGGTTATCGCGTCTTTTCTCGGACTGCAAATTTGCGCATCAATGCTAAGCGCTGAAATACATCCCCTTTTTCAAGCGCGGTGAAATACATCCCCTTTCGGGGGCGGCGCTAGGTCCATTTGAACTGGGGGGGAGATAATTTTGCCGAGTCATTAAGTGAAATTTTACCGACTCATTTCAAACGCCAATTAATATTTCTTTTCCCAAAATCATCTTTTTCATACTATTTGAGGTTAACGTACCGTTCTACCTTTAATGTTCCCTTTTTTCCTTCATATTTTCGTAAATTTCTCTAAATTTTAGGTATAATTATTATTTTTTAATTTGTTTCACTGGATTCTTTTCCGTGTTCACCTAGTCATGTGTAATCAAACATTTTGCCTTTTAAATGGGTAGTAGTATTAATGCAAATAGTCAGTTTTTTAAAGATTTTTTTAAAGCATTAGTCATCATGTCAGGTTTTAAACACAGAAAATACTTGCTTGCCCTTGACTTAAGTTTGGCAGCTTACATTCTACTAAATGCTAGAACGGGATTGTTGATTTGGTTGATTGTTGAAAATACGGTAAAATTAATACTTTTTCTCGTAGTATTAAGGAAACATCACACTTGGGTTTGGCGAAATATTTATAAATATTCTATTAATTATATTTTGGCCTGACCCGTGAATTCCCCAAGAATTAGTCTGTATTTTTATATTCTAGGGTAACAAGGTGTTTATATAACCGCAAAATAGAAGAGAGTTTATCACTATTTCTACTAAGGTCAAAAGTTAATGTTTCATGCCAATGTATCATGCATATTTAATTTGATGTTTATGAATTGTTTACTTTTTCACCACATTTTTTCGACCACCCGATTCCCCTGACAGAATTTATCCCGAAAGTTGGAAAGTTTATAACCACTTCTGGACTGTTCCCCGAATTTTAGGGACAGTTGCATGATTGTATTAAAACTCTAAAATGTGCGATTTTGAATGATTAACTTTCGAACTAACCTCACCGCCGGGCTCACGTTTTTCATTACCGCCCGACCTCCAGCGACGATGGGTAGTTGATTCCGATTGTGAACTGGATGGATTCTGATTGGCTGGGCTTAAATATCAAAATCGAAATGCTATTTTCTTGAAACTGATGTTCATTGTAAATTTTACTTCTCTATATGCTTCAAACTACTAAATTTTTTATGCAAAACTGTTTCCAATGTATTGCAGATATCCAATTGAACAAGTGAAATGCAACAAGGCTAGGAGTTGAGAATAACGGTTCTGGAACTTTGTTGACCTTTGAATCTGTTACCGAGATCTGGGTAGCGCTGCTGGGGTTCGACTAGACTTTCGCCAAAGGCGAAGGAATTTAATTCGGCGAAGGAATTTAATTCTTCATGAGTTAGGGTCAGTGGCTAGAGTCAGGGTAAGGATAGGGCTCAGCATTCATAAACAGCGAGACATGAATTTGTAAGCAATTCTTGGAACTTTGAGACCGAAGACTGGAGCAGAGGCCAGATAGGTCGGCACTAAAGGGGGTGGGGGTATAACAACCCCCAGTCATCAGGTAGTCGGCAAAATATTGAATCCCAGTTTGCAAAACATGGATTTGGATAGGAACAAAAACAAAATTGAGTGACACCGATTGAAAATTAAGAATGATAGCTAAAATGTGGAGAAATTTACGGAAAAATTTTTGTTGTGTCGTCGCCAACCCCACCAACAATTTTGGGAAAAGGAATATTAATTAGTATTGCTTAGGACAGCAATGTATAGGCGCTATATAAATACCATCATTATTATTATTATGTTGCAGACTACGTATACAGAGACTACGTATAGAGGTTCGCGTCGGATCGGATTGAATCCAAAGTTTTCGTTCTCAATCCGAATCCGAAGCTCAAAAGCGTAATCCGATCCAACCCGAAAAATTTATTAAATCCCAATGCAATCCCATGCTAAAAATCGCAATCCCATCCGACCTGAAATATCGTTTGATCTGACCTACATTATAGCTTTAATTATCTACCACCATGCTCTCGACCATGCTAAACACAAAAGCCAGGCAGATTGGAACAACGGCAGAAACGCGAATATAAAATGTTTTGCGAAATATAAAACCAACAAAGTCAAAGAAACATAATTACGTATTCTTGTGAAAAATAAACATCAGAACAGATAATCGGAAATTCAAATGTAAGTCGAAGCATGGATGATAAAAAGAATATGGACCAATCAAAGTCTTTTAATTATCCAAAGTTGAAGAAAGGTTTGATGGAGATTTTGTGTGTTCTTAAAATTCTGAAATCTGAACCATAATTGTGAAGCAAACCGCAGAAAGAGTTGAAGCAAAGTGCTATATTAGTTTCGCGAGTTTAATGACATTAAACAAAATCTGACATCTAGCATGCAGTCCCAAAAATAAATCCGATTCGATCCAACAGAAAAACTACCAAAATCCCATCCGATAGAAAAACAAATAAATTCCCATCCGAACGCCTAACATTTAGACTGAATCCGATTGGATTGACCAGAGACTCTGATTGAATCGTCGACGTTATGCCAGTGTTTTTTAGGCTGAAGACACATACAAAGCGGAAATTCTATTGTGGTTATAATTAGACTTTATTTAAAGAAAGCTAAATTATTTACAGTATTTACAAAATACAACAGTTTAGCTATAACAGTGTAAGCTATTCTTCCACTACGTATATGGACTGGCTGAAGTGGTTCTTATATATAACAGGAACTTTGTACGATTTCAGACAAAGTCGGCTTTGTCAGCCGTAAATTGCTCTTGTTTTTCGTTCTTACTAACCAATTAAAAATTTCAGGCAGGTGGTCTTAATCCAGTTTTTTTTTAATGCTGGTTACCTACGCCAGGTTATGTTTTCACCTGGGTTTGTATGAATTGTGTGTCAGTGACTGTGTGTTTTTGTCTTTTGGCATTATAACTCAAAAATGTCGAACGACTATTATAAATAGTAAACGGCCAAGACCAAATCGATTATATTTTGGATCATTTTGTACGAAAATGGAATGAAAATTGTCAAAGGTTTGTCTTGCTCTGCCGGGCAGAGAAAACTGAATGCGTAATTGTCCATTGTATGATTTATGCATGATATCTGACCTGATTATCCGCCCGAATATTGATTATATAAGGTTCAGACCTAATCATCCAAGGGTAAATAATTATGTTCATTTGTTATAAAGTGATAGTGTTTGTAATATATTGACTGGAAATGATAGGAAAGAACTTTACAGTCCAACATCGATAAACATGCATGCATAATATATAGTGGTTGGAAAAGCCAGTAGTAAAAAAATTTCGAACCCATTTGTTCGTATATTGCAAGGGGACATGAAAAATCTTGTCAATATTGCCAGCTGCTCATTAAATACTCATACCTGCTAAGCCATGAATATTACATCATTTTTATCCTAAAAAGGCCTGAACCTTAAATAAATATCCGGTATCCGGCCGGTTATTTTATACTAACTGGCCGGACAACAGACGCATTTTACTGCATAAATTTTGGGCAAGTAAGTGCTCGAACGGTGAAGTGCTCTAGCTATCCTTGGTTTTTCCTGGAGGAACAAGTGAACCTGTTATAACGAGGAACCATTTCAAAGATAACTGTCCATCACTCAATATTCCATGTTTAGAAATCTGATTGAATTGCGAGAATGAGTACGGAGGCAACTTTAAGAATGCCGTTTACGGGATGCCAACCCTTATGCTAAAGCTGGATAATCAGGGAGGCCAGGAAAAAACCTGCGGTACAGGAAAACCTGGGTAGGGCCAAGACCTCCAGCAGCTCCCTACATAGCTCTATCTTTACAACTGATGTAAGTGTTAGCATCACGTTAAACAGCACTATATCTAAAGAGGGGCCGAGCGGAAAGGTGACAGCAATTATTTTGTTTATCATTTTATCGTAAGTAGAAAGGTTATATTGTTGAACTTTCTTTTGTTTAGTTTAAAAAAACCTTGCTGCGAAATGTAAGAAACCGCAACCTTGGCCAAAAGCTTGGAAAACGGCTGAACGTTTGCATTAGTTTTCCCGTGAAATTTATTTTTGTTGCATTTTGTTACAAGTATGACAACTCCCCCCAGTCAATGTTGTCGGTCACAGTATTGTTGTGCCAGATTTCCATCTATTATAGTTACATAAAACAACATTGAATGGGGGGGGGGAGGAGGGTGGAAGAAGTGAAATATAAGGAGAAAATCGTCCATCGTTGAAGTTCTATGGTTTTTGGCCAAGATTGTAGCTGAATCCTCACGATTAATTTAATCCTCGCAATGCATGTACATATAAGTTATACGATAAAATGTACTACAAAGCAGCAATCAGTAAAAATCTGCATATAAAACAACCATAGTACTATTTTGGAAACAGACTGGTTCTTACAAACAGTATTTCCTTTATTTCAATAACCCACCGCAGAAGTCTTATTTCCCCAGTGGTTCTGGACTGGGTGGGGGAGGGGGGGGGGGCGGTGCAAATAGAGGTTGAAGGCTAAATAAAATATAATTTTTTATTTACAGAATCATCGTTATAAACTAGAAACATGATGGAAAAATTTAATCAACTTTCTCTTAAAAATTCTTCTTTATTCAGTGTTATCAGTGCATACCACGAATTTAATTAACCACTCGAACACTTCAGCAAAACAAGACAATGTTCTCACGTTTAACCTATACTGCTTGCGATTAAGTCAAAAGATGGAAATAAAATCTTGCCTAACACACGGAACATGATTAATTACGAGTCAGTCAGCCAGTCAATCCCAATCCTCTGCCGCGCAAAATAGTCTTGAAAAAGATCGATTCCACTGTTCACATGGCTTCGTCTAATTTAGGAGCCATTCCAGGGGCCAGTTGTATAAAACTCTTAATCACTTTTTAATCACTATTTTGTAGTTAAATAGTGATTAACTCTCAAATACGCGCTTCTTATTGGATGACATTTCCACTAACTATAGTTAACTTTAATCACTTTTTTATACAACCGGCCCCAGTACAAAACGAGACTTAATTTTACTTGGTCTCGAAGTCATACGGTTAGCTGTGCTGGAATTCGTCCGGTTTCATGCGATACATGTAGTATCGTGCAAGGCGAAATATATGTATAGTATTGTGCAAGGCTTTCGAAAGCGGGGAGTCATCCGACCCCGTATGAATGAACGGGGCCTATAATTCTTACCTTATTCCTTACTTGTTTCATTGTATTCCTTATCTTTTTTTTAATTATCCCGTAGCTTCCTTTCCTTGTCCTTAGTAATATGTTCTGTAATGTGATTTACATTTTTTGTTTACACTTTGTTTTGACCACTGTGTTTTGACCAAATCCATCTGATTGTTTATTTTTTGTCACTTGATCGCTTTTATATATTATTAGTATAAAAGTTCATGTATTTAGTTCCTGATCCATACTACAATCTTCCCGACGAAGGGTCTTCGCTCGAAACGTCGAAGTTTTACTTGTATTCTTCAGCTAGTTGAATCCCTTTCAATCCGCAGCTTTCTCGTGTAAATTTTATACATTTTTTAGACCTCACCAGGAGCAGTTGCGAAAAATACAACTACAGGCCCTCTGGCAGGAATTGAATCTGCGGGCCTGCGATTCCAGTGCAGAGCGCGGTAAAACGCGTTAAGGTCCATACAGACCGGACGCGATTCGACAATAACGCGACGCAAATTTTTAGTTTTAAAAAACAAATAAAACCGTCAACGGATAAAAATGTTACAAGATATGCAGACCAAATAGCTAAAATTGCTTAAGTGGTCCGAATATTTGAAAAACATAGAAAAATATTGAAGTTAGATGTCATTGAAAATTCGCGTCGCGTTGCCAAATCGCGTCCGGTCTGTATGGACCTTTAGTGTTCGTATGTCGCTATGCGATTTATTTAATAGAGGTTGGGGGCTAAATAGAGGGTGCGGGCTTAATTTTTTCAACGCATCTCGACTGGTGGGTGCTAAATAGAGGAAATACGCTGTAGCAACAATTGTTTTATGAAATTCGGCAAAGTCGGCTTTGTCAGCTGGACATAGTTCTTGTATTTTTTTTTGTGCTTAATTGTGAAATTTCAAGCAGGTGGTTTTTAATGCTGGTTTTTACTGTATTATGAAAGAAGTACAGTCAATGTTTCGATTTTGAAGTATACACCTGAAGCACACTATATATAGTTACCATGTAGAAACTCGTCAATTATGTAGACCAGATCAACCCTCTTAATGGATTCGAAGAAATCACGGAGTTCATTTAAATTTGAAGCATGAATGACTCCGGTTTGATCAAGGTGTAACAGAACATCAGCTACATTTTCAGAGTTGTCGATTGAGAATCTCTTACTTGCCCAATCCTTGAGTTTCACGACATCATCGAACAATAACGATTGTGCAATAAATTCCAACAGATGTCGATAACTACGGTCATTGTTCGCAGACGAAGATGCCATTTCACCATTAGTTTCCATTTCGTTATTATCAAAACAGTCTCCTTGTTGCTCGTCATTTGAATCATCCAAAGCCATGTTAGAATATGCCTCATTCTGCGGTGGTAAAGGACTGATTTGTTCATGCATATGGCCAGAATATGGCTCAATCTGTGGTGGTATAATGGTCACGACGTCTACATTTTCTTCATCTGTTGCAGATGCTAGTGTTTCAACTGTGTCTATTGGCTGCTCAGTCGACACAGAACATTCAGACTCCAACTCACAACGACGTTCTGTATATGTTGGATTAATCATGTGAACTTCGGCCGTGTTTTGAGAAAAAATCTGCTGAAAAAGAACTTCATGTTTTCTTTCATTCACTTCTTGCTCTGCCTCAAATTCTAATCGTCCAATTTCTCCAAGCAACTCATCACATTCATGGTTCTTTTTCTGGAGTTGATCTTGATACTCAATTGCGGAGGTCTTCAATATTTCAATTTCTTTGCGAAATTGTTCTCTCTCAGATGCCATTTGCATTTCCATTCTTTTGTTGCGACATTTTACTGCCTCAAGTTCAAATTGCAATCTGGCAATTGTATCCTCGTGTTTCGATTTCTCAGAGAGATCTGAAGTGCTGTAACAGACGTTCAGCCCTGTCGATCTCTCACATTCTCGACCATCTTCGAGGGAAGAAAATCCTGATGAATTTCTGCTGTGAACAGCCTGGTATTTAGCACGTTGATAAATTTCTGCAGTATCATCCATGTTGATCCTGTAAAGATGGTACCTGGTATCATATGGTAGAAACACTACAGTGCAGTATAGTCCAGTTCAGTCACAGATTAAGTATGACCAGATGTGTAACTTCATAGGACTCCGTGTCCTCAATTCTCAAACGTGCAAAATGGCGTCCTGAAAAACACGAATTTTGCACTTTATTGCGGCCTTTTTCGACCGAAATTTTTGGGTTAAACAATCAATGTTGAATTTTAAAGTTGTTGAAAGCAATTAAACTTGTTGAAAAGGTGTTGAAAGCATTTTTGAAAGCAAGACGCCGTATTACCAAATGACGAAGGAAGATGGCGACCGTGGGACAACTTTTTTACTGAAGTTACACATCTGGGGCCGGTTGTTCGAAAACTAATTAGCTTAATCCTAGGTTAACCTCAAATTTCTGACAGCTATAAATTTGGACATGTTTCTTCAGAAATAGTTTACTTCTCTGAAGTTTTGAAATAAACAAACGCGCAAAAATACACAAACCAAAACAGCAAGTTAAATTTTAACCCAGGGTTAGCGCTAACTCGCCTTTGAACAACCGGCCCCTGGTCCATACTTAATCTGTGAAGTTTAGTACAGTACAGTACAGTACAGTACAGTACAGTACAGTACAGTACAGTACAGTACAGTACAGTACAGTACAGTACAGTATAGTACATTACGGTACGGTACGGTACAGTACAGTACAGAGTAAAGTAGAGCACGGCTCTGCACGGCATGGCACAGCACAGTCGAGTCCAGAGTAGAGTCAGCGGAGTAGAGTCTGAGTAGAGTCTACGGTGGCCCACAGGGGTCATGCTACAAATATAAAAATCAGCCTTTGGCCCTTCAGAATTTTATTTAAAGGGTATGAGCAACAAAAAATTTTATTGCTTCATCTGAAAGAGCATGAAAAAATAAGCCGATTGGCCGTTTAATGCTCTATTCTATCGCATCTAGTTCCGAAGTTATACGCAAAAATGTGCAAAGTATAAATTGCTGATTCAGCACAACGTGTGACGTCATTAGTTGGGTAAGTATGTTTAATGAATACTGAACTGAAGCATAGCTCAGTTCTTATGGGCCCAAATCAAATGAAATTTTGCATACTGATTGTACATGATGAGACGCATTGAAAAACACTTCTAATTTTGTTGCCAAGGTAACAATGTCGTTCCCAGGTCCCTTGCGCCAATTTTATAAAACAGCTTTATTCATGGTACTTATAAGAATAAAATAATATCAGAAGTATGTGTACCATACCTATGCATGCCAAAAGTTTACTTGCATGATAATAATTCGAAAATGACATACACATAGATAAATGCAACTAGTTATTCAAAATCAGTGTAAGGGGCCTGGGAACGACTGTGTTGTCTTGACAACAAAATTAGAAGTATTTTCTCATGCGTCTCACCATGTACTATCTGTATGCAAAATTTCATTTGATTGAGCCAATAATAACTGAGCTATGCTTCAGTTTACTATTCAATAAACATACTTACCCAACTAATGACGTCACACGTTG